ATTTTGCCCTGGGATTCATTTGGGGAAGAAATGGGAGGGGAGAGGCAGCGGGGGGCGGAATCTCTTGCATTGTTCTTCGTATACAGAAGATTCTAAGGTTGCCTGGCAGGAATTCTGGACCTCAACTCCCACCCTAACTGGGGGGAGCAGTGCCAAAGGATTGTGGGAGTTGTGGTTCCAACAGGTGGATTGGATTAGCTGGCTGCGGAATTCTGGGAGTTGAAGTCCACATATCGTAAAGTCGCTGAGGTTGAGAAACACTGGCCTACACAAAGGCCTACCCACATGTTTTGGGACCTAACATAGCCCTTTCATATGGGGGTAGGAAATGAATGAATCCAGGTGGGGGAGAACTCAATTTGCCAGTTCTCTAGAATGGGGGTATGCAATGTTGAGGTTTCCACTGCCCTGGTGCCGACTCAGAAGGGAAAGCATTCGATCTGGTGAAACCTTCGTTGGCGTCAGAGTTTCCATTGGGCAGAATTCCTCCGAATGCTTTTCCTTGCGACCCAGGGACAGCGGTTTTGTTTCCTACGCTGGGAACGGGGGGCCCGTGGGCTTACGTTTTGTCAGCTGTGCCTTTATTTTTAATAGCCTGTTGACGGTTTTGAGTTTTTGTGACGGTAATCCTAGGACAAAAGCTGGTTTGCTGCCACAGCAAGGAAGAAAACAGTTCGGAAAGAGCAGGCCCACGCTGTGCGGTTTCCACACGCGGCTTCAAATAGGCTAGTTGAGCAGGCCAAATAAGGAATAGCTGTAGGGCTAAATTAGATACATAGGAGATCTGTTCCTAAGATGTCAATGTTTTTTTCCTTTTTTTTAAGGTGGGGTGATGTGCACTTTTTCCATATTAATATCACCTCCTTGCAAAAAAAAAAAGATATCGTGCCTTTTGTATTTCGCTCTGTGAGGCAAAGGGGGGGGTGCATTTTAATTGAGAAAACGGTACCATGCACCATGTTGCACTCCTGAGTTGATTCGTACCTTCTCTGTGGTGGCTAAAGTTTTGCTAAAAGAATAGCAGAACCTTTGCATGCATACATACATACATACATACATATATACTTGTAAATTGCCCTTAAGAAGAGAGTACAGGTCCAAAATGGATTGGGCAGAAATATGTATATGATACTTTTTTTTTTTTAACTGTTTTGTGTGTTTAAAAAAGGAAAAACATCTACTGGGGCTTCTAGTTTTATGTCATACCTAGGTTGGCCCTAATTTCTTTTTTAAAAAGGCCTGTATCTTACAATTCTGATGACTGACACAAATCATCACTTGTGTTTTGGAGAAAAGCACTCCTCTCCCATCAGATGCTTTGTTTGTGGAGCCAAAACTTTGCTGATGTCAGGTAGCCTTTGTATATATACCTTTAAAAGCTGCTTAACAGGTACAAATTCACCAAGACAGATGTTTGTTCCTAGTTGGTTTCGCTCTTACTAAAATTGCAGGTTTGCACAATATGTGAGTACCCCAAACAACCCAAATTAAAACTAACCAAGTTTAGCATGCTGTGTGAATGCTTATGCTGATCATTTCACTGAGGCTGTTAAGCTTGTGTGGATCCAGCCTTGGTAGCTGGATGTGTGTGCTCCAGATGTGTTGGACCACAGTTCCCAGATCTCCCAGGCACCGTGGCCAGTGGATGTGTCAACCGGGGATGTTGGCCCAATACTTTGGGAGGGCATATGATTAGGGAAGGAAGATGGAAACCCAAGATTAGCCAGTTTTAGGGCCTGATGACTTCTGATGGTCACAACTATATGGAGTATGCATTAGAACTGGAATCTGATGCTTGTTGGTTTAATAATGGCTGCCTGTATTGTAATACACTATCTGGCAGAACACTCCAACTGATAGGCAACCCTATTCTACTGACACACAGTTTGGCATGGAAGAATGTATGTGGCTAAGCTTTGGGGCATGCTAAGCCATGGTTTTTAGCATAGCTGGTCAACTAAGGGATGAGGCTGGGTTCACACAATATTCTATGCTAAACCTAAAAGAAACCATATTGTGGCTTAACATGATATTTGAGTCCTACCACTGGATGGCAAGCTAACAGCAGCAGATGACATGTTCTCAAATGGAAACTCAGTTGTCACGTCTCCCTGTTGAAGACAGTTTCATGCTGCTGGTGCTGTTGATGGATCGATTTGGACTTCATAGAAATTGGTGGAAAGGATCCTGTCTCTCTTCATACAAGAAAAGACTTCAGATTAGAAATTAGATCTTCCTAGTGAAACCAAGGGATGTAGCAGTGAAAATGAGATTCTTGATGACAATGCACGTGGAGGAAATCAGTGTTTATCCTTTTCTTTGTTTAAATTAATTTAAGATCTTCATACCCCACAGTTTCTTACACAAGCACTTGTCAGGACTTCCACAGCATATGTACCACATAACCACAATGCTTTTGCTCTTGGTTCAGTATCTCCAATCTAGCTCTAGGTAGGAGGTGCTGGACTTCCATTCCCACAAGACCCATCCTGGGTGGCAATGAAAAAGTGATGATCTGGCATATTTAATGTTTGAGGCTATTAGACAAAGGCGCTCTGTGGGTTTCCCTACAGGCCTGTGCCCCTTAATTAAGAAGCAAAACTATCCATGGATCTCAGAGCCATGGATCCATAGATGTCCTGGAGAATGGCCAGTTTTTTTAAGAGGTGCACCCAGGCATGCTAGAAGATCAAAAGATTGGGGAAAAGAAGAAGAAATTCAGAGTCCCTGAGCAGCATTCACATGGTGAAGTGTGTATTTGTTTCCACATTGTGGGACCCTAGTTTACTTATCACGGTTTACTCGGAAGCATGTCTGAATTCTTATCCAATTTCCAAAGACTGGTGTTATTTGGGTACTTAAAAAGAGCAGCAATTCCTAGTGAGTGTTGGTATAACCGATGTGGAGTAAACATTGTAGGGTCCAAATTCAAGATTTCATTTTATCTCCACTTTACGCTAGTGCAGCATATATAATAAATCACAGCAAGAAAGCAGTTCTATTCTTGACGATTAGTGAGGATAGACTGGGTATTTCAATCCTAGCATTTGGTTGAATAATTTCCAATTGTGCGTGCTAGTGCAGTGTTTCTCACCCTTGGCAACTTCAAGATGTGTGGACTTGAATTCCCAGAATTCCCCATGCTGGCTGGGGAATTCTGGGAGTTGAAGTCCACACATCTTAAAATTGCCGAGGGTGAGAAACACTGCACTAGAGAATTACCAGACCCTGTTAGACCACAAAGCAGACTTGCTCTCGATACATGGTTACTATTTTAAAGGATGGGTCTAAAACTTGATTGTCTCCCCTGCCAGGAGAGTTTAGTAGAGTTTGGAAGAGAGGAATCTTGCTGCACAATCCTACGTGTGCCTACTCAGAAGTAAGCCCCAGTGAATTCTGTGGGGCTCAGTGCAGCCTCGAGGAAGAAGAAACCTGCAACTTTGTTCTGCGGTGATTTAAAAAAAAAAAGCAAAATGGTTTATTATTATTATTTGAAACCGCGAATCACTAGACTTTTTTCCCCATACCTGCAGAACACGGGCTTTAAACTCATTTCTGCTCTATGGTTTGTCATTTGGACCCATTTCTGCTTTGTCTTTTGGACTTCTTTTGAAGCTTGGCAGACGTTCTCCATCTCCTTCCGAAGTCCTCTCTTCCCTGTTGAATGGGCCTTGATCTTACCTTACTCTCCTGAAATCTGAACAGCCCCTCTTCTAAAGCTGTCTGGCTTTCTCTGTAATTCAGTAACCCAAAGCTAGTGCTATCGATTCACAGGCCTTGTGCAGTTCTCCCACGACAGATTTCCTGGGCTGCATGAAGCCAAAAAAAAACCCCCAAAGCAGCCATGGGGAAATAGATTGCCAGTGGAGGATATTCGATGAACAAAGCAGGGCGGACGCCAGATTTGGCACCCCTGCCATTTTGGCCAGGCTGCCGTGACCGATTCTGGGGAATGACTTGATCCCTGCCCTAAATGGGGCATCTTCAACATCTTCCTCCAGCCTGAAAACAGCTGCATTTTTAAAAAAGTTTCGTTTGTTTTTATTTTGGGTGTGATTTGGATTTTATTTTGTTTTAAATGATGAGGAGAGGCATGATCTCCCAGTCAGGAGCCAGGGCAAGCAGGAGCTTTGGAGCTCCAAGGCCAAGGCAGCAGACCTCTTGGAGGGAAGATGCAGAATTCCATTCTGATGTGGGGAATATAATCTTATTTCTTTGGGATTTCCCCATCCCTCCCCTGCTCTTGTAGAGTTTTGACTAAACAATAAGATATTTTTCCCACTGACGATTTCCCATTATTTCTAGTGCTCCTTTGGAGAATTTAAAATTCTCCCCAAAGGTGTCCAAGTAAGTTTAGCCATCATGGGGATACAGGGAGATGCACTCATAATCAGAATACAAAGATTATGCTAAATTAAGCATGTAGAACCTGGTTCGTAGTCTGCAGGTTGCTCAATTGGGGCCAAAAATGCAGTGCATTTTGGTTTACATTGAAGGGAGATCATTGGTGTTTTAAGTCTTGTTGAGGCCTAGTGTGATCATCTTACCTTTTAATAAATTCAGTTCTCCAAAACAGCACGTCCAGGGCATGCTGATTTGTGCTATACCACTCTCAGAGCTTGACGGGCTCTTGGGCCAACAAAAATTGTGCATCTTCTGCTAACTCATGATGGCAGTGCAGTCTTGTTAAGAAGCCACAACCGGCTGGATTCATACAACGCCGCATAACTTAAGTTGTATTTTCCCAACCCCGGTAGCTAGGTACACACAACACAGCAAGCCTCCCAACTAAAGTTTAGCATAAAGTGTTAGCCCAACTTTAGTGAAAGGGTTAGATCTGCAATGAGTAAGTGGAAGGAAGTGATGAAGACCTGTATCAGATCTGTTATTTAGGTTCATAAATGAGCTACAGCCGTCTTTGCCAACCTGGTGCCTTCTAGATGCATTCACTTTCTATTTTCAACCAGGAACACCCAAAGGCAAAGATGAAAGAGATTAACATCTAAGTGGAACATGAAGAGCTTCAAAAGAACCTCTTCAATTAAGTGAGTCAATGTAAATGTATGGCAATAAAGCATGAAATACACATTACAGATATATGCAAACATACATGACTGTAATGGGTTCTCACCTGGCAGCGTGTCATCTGCAAGCCATCTCAGGGTGACAGTGGCCCCAAATGAGAGCTTCTGTACGTGCTTAGCTTGGTTAACACTAACCTTCATTTGTTTGGGGAGGGGTTTAGCATGATAGACAAACCCATCTTTCTCTATTGTACAACCTAGCAAAACCCAAGATTTCATTTCTGCTGTGTGAAGAGTAGTGGGGGAAAAAACCAGACATTTAAGTCCTAAGAATGGATAGGAAACAAGGAATTGTCACCGTACTGCAGTTTTCTTTCCAAACGATCCCTGGTTTTACACTGACTATTGCATGCTAAAGACATCACAGAGCTCAAAAGGAGCTGTAACTTTTGGAGATCTGGGTTCAGATGCCAGGGAGTGAGACTCTCTTACAACATCTTGCCTTTTCTCAGGGAAAGGAGGGTGTGTGCGCCAGAAAGTTGCTTTGGAATTGGGAGGTGTCTAAATCTAAGGAAGTGACACACCTAGGTGTGAGACATGCAGTAAGGGGATGGAGGGGGGCTGCTTGGTGGCTTCTGGCTCCTGCAATACAATTTTACTGAAATAGTCCCTTTGCAGAAAAAAAAATGTACCTTCACCTGTCCTAGCAGCACATTCAAAATGAGAAAATATGCTTTCTCTGCCACGAGTGGATCATCTTTGGTAACTTTACAAGCAAATTCACATGAGGTTGACTCACCAAGCGTTTATCTAGGGGTGGAATAGAAGCCCCCGTTATCAGAGACTGCATACTCCAGAAGACCAAATTGGAGAGGCAGACGTAACATTAGGTGAGCAGCCCTCCTAATTTCATTTCCTCATTTTGCATTTCCTCAGGGCATCGAACATCTTGTGCAGGAGCAGGAGTCAACAGATGGCCTGGGGAAACGTGTCTGCAAAGGGCTTCTGATTGTAAATAATCACCATAAGGCCAGGCTGGCAAAGATCAGATCTTTCTACTTTTGACGCCCTCCCTTGTTCATCTTGGCTCATTTGTGGATTGTTCCGTTTTGTTATTAGAAGAGGGCAGGATGTCTGGGCCAAGGGAATGACACAGAGTGGTAAAAAAATTCTTATATCAAAACAATATTCTGCTTCTATCTGTTTCTATATCTAGGTGTTGTAGACACTTCTGCCTTTTAAGAAAATGTGTTGGTCGGAAAAGGCACTGCATCAGGGTAAGCTACCTATTTGGGGCTGAAGGGCCACACTTCTTAGACTCTGGATTTGGGGGTCCAACAGCAAAAATCCCAGACAGAGGACCAAGACTTTCTGCAGCCGGAGAAAATGTTGTAAAGGTCAAAGAGCTGTGATATGCTGATGTCTACTCATAATGTCTATTTTGCTTATTTTCAGAGGCACCAACATAACGGCTTTGCTACTATATTACAGCATTTTGTGCTTTTTCCTTCCAAACAGGCATATTTTTCTCCTCAACAGACCCAGCCACCCTTAGCAAAGAAGCTCTGTCCTGCAACTGGATAGGAATCATGGGTGAATTTAATTAAAGCATTGGTTAATTGACATCACATCCCTTCTCTGTCACCCCAAACGAAGGGAGAAATCATTATCCAAGCAACTTCTGGGCCACAAAATACTGTTATTCAGGACTAAGATATCCAGTGGTCAACCTTCGCCTCATCCACCCCAAACATTTCCCAACATTATTGGAAGAGCTGGAGGTGGGTGGATGGAGAATTAACAACCAACGTCCAGCATCCTCATCTCCGGACCTTGTGTTACTCCAACAGAGTAGTAAGAGATTAATAGCCCTCCTCAAAGTGAGGGAGAGAGAAAGGGGAAAATACCCACAATACCACATACATTCTCAAAACTCTGGCAGTTTGCCCTATCGAAAAATAGCCAAGAGAAGCTCTTCAGGGATCACCTGGCCTCAAGTTAAAAGTATACGCAGCCACTTCCTATGGGACCAAACCGTATGTTTAACTTGTTCCTGCAACAGCTCTTGCTCCCCTTCCCACAAGCACTTTCTGTGGCTGAATAAAATGGGTCCCTCCCCCCCCAACTTCTTGTCTGTGGCAAGAGATAGAATCTGTCCCACCCCAACCTTGCTTGCCCTACAAAATCCCTTTCCCTGATTAGTGTACTTTTACACAGAGATGGGTCTAGCTACTTTTTCTCAATGGGCAGACTGCTTGCCGATTGACAAGCAAACGCTACCGTGGTTGAAACCAGAGCAGGGAAAAAAGGGGGACACGCACAAGGCCGGACCCAATTCTTCCTCCTGCTTTTAAGTAACCTGGAAATAATGAGTTGCTGGCATGTGCTTCCGTCAGCTCCCTCGTCTCCTCCCCACTGACTTCGAGATGACCCTCACATTTGAGTTCTTTCTTTGAAGAACAGAATGGAAAGAATCTATCCTTGATCATCCTAGCATACTTACTCCCAATCAATCCATAATTAGGTTGGGATTGTGTATAATTCTCTTGGGGGGGGGGAGGAATGATGGGAAAAAAGGTGAGAGAGAGTTTTGCCCTGCCCAGATTACACCCCACCATACAGTGTTAACTTCCTCCTGCCTCTCCTATGCATTCAGCAAGCAAGCCCACCCACCCAGAAACTATTCTCCCCCCCCACCCCCCAATATCAAAGTCCTTTTGTTCAGTTCTCATAGACTTTAGTACAGGTTAAGCTCAGTGGGGTCCAGCCGGTCAGACACTGAGCAACCAGAAGAAAAAGAAGATGGCAATGAAAAGAAACAATGAATCCTGCCAGCTTGATGGTCTAGCCGCCTCTGTATCTGCGCAAAAGGAAAAACAAAAGAGTTAGCCGAGGCAAAATCTAAAAGCCAACTGGCTGCATTCAGACAACAAATTTAACCCGCTGAACCACTAACTAACCCTGTTGCAGCTCATTGCTATGGATCTGGCAGCACACGGTCGTGCTAACCAAGGGCTGCCAATCTGGGAATACAGAGCACCCAGCTTCCCTGCTCCTGATAAAGCTTTGCTACATCAATGGCTGTCCCCATTTGTCAGGCAGGCAGCAGCAGTCGTGACTGGGCACTGCAACCAATCAGTGTGTAGGAGAAAATCATGTGACTCTCAAGCCTCGTCAGTAAGTTCTATAGCGGCAGCTACTCTACACTCCCATCTCTCTTCCTTGGAGGACTAACTAGGAGGGCTTGAAACATTTCCCACGGTTTACTGCTATTCGGGTTGGCACAACATGACTAGTCACGGGAGGCTGGTCCAATTTATCACCCCCATTAGAGTTTTTGAGTTGAAATGGTCCCAGTGGGCCAAATTATGCCACTGGGCCTGGGGGCCCCAGGGGACTGGCGAGGTACTGAGATGGCTCCATTGTTGTTGCCTTCTCTTAGCCTTTAATTCCGATTTTTAAATTTTTTTCTGAAGAATGATTGGTTTTTATATGCTGTTTTATAGTTTTATTGTACGCTGCCCAGTCACTATTTATTTATTTATTTATTTATTTATACATCACATTTATATAGCTGTCCATCTCCCACAAATCAACTCTGGGCAGCGTTCACAATTGAAATAAAATGACAAGTGAATAAAAACAGGTATTATAAAAAGATAAAAGGTTGTTGTTAGAATAAAAACATTATCACAAATTTTAAAAAAGATTTAAAATATAGATTTTAAAATATACAAACCCCACAGAGAGAGGGACTATTAGTCATAATAGAGCCATCTAAGAAGGTCTCCGGTTCCCAAAGCCCCCTAGGCCTGATGACACAACCAGGTCTTGAGGGACTTCCTAAATGATAGCAGGGAAGGGGTAAGCCTCACTTCGGGGGGGGGAATGTCCCACAAGGAGGGAGCCACACCAGAGAAGGCCCATCTCCTGGGACCCACCAAATGCAAGTCCTTGGCCACTGGAACACGTAGCATACCGGATCTAATGGGACAGGCTGATGTGACTGGGCGTAGGCAGTCCCTGGGCGGCCATATAAATTTGATGAATGAATGAATAAATAAATAAATAAAATTAGCGGGTTTGTTGGTTTGTTTATGAAATTTATAGACCACCCCCATCTGTTATGACTCTGGGCAGCTTCCAAAATACAACAGTAAAATACTATAAAATACAGGAATCATCAAAAGTCCAGGAAAAAATAAAATTGTTTAAAAAAACAGAACTCCACAGGGATCCCTCACCTGCACTCACCCAGGGCTACAGTCAAGCCTTAAGGGCTTGCTTAATTAGGGCTAGGGTGGGGGCTGTACAAATCTTGGGGGGGGATATGAGGTTTCAGAAGGCAGGTGCCAAACAGAGAAGGAAGGACCACTTCCTGGGTCCCACCAGGTGGCAGGGTTAATCGATGGGACCTGAAGCGTGCCAGCTCTGCCAGGCTATGTGGGATGGGAAGAGATGACGTGAGATAGGAGGTCCCTGAGATAATCAGGCCCTCATTTGACCACATCCTACCACGTTTGCTGACCTGGTCTAGAGTTGCCAGATATCTGGCAAAAGGAGGACATGTCTCCTTTTTTGTCCAGCAGGCGCAGCCTTAAAATCAAACATTGTCCGGCTTTTTGAGTGGCTTGATTTTTTTTTTAGCTTGGACCACTGTAAATTGTCTGCTTCTTTCCCTCATCTGTCGACACTCGACAGCCTAGCTTTATGTTACTTATTTCCTGATTCCAGCAATCGGCTTCAATCCAGCCCGTTCAAAACTATGATCCCTGTAGTCCTCCTACACATTTCTATGGTGAAATCTGAAAAGCGCACCATTGTCGATTCTATATTATTGCTAGCATATGTTCTTGAAAATAAAGATTTGTTGGGAAAATATTGCAATTCAAATCATGATCACGTGACTGCGGGGACACTGCAACTGCCGCAACTTTGAGGACTGGTCGTCTTGCTTTTCAGTGCTGTTCTAAGTTTGAACGATCACTGAATGAGTGGTTAGTAAGCAAGGACTACCTGTACAATTTTTTGCAGCGTTTTGCTATAATTTATGTCATGGATGCCAAGATAGTTAGTTAGTGTGTTCTCCTTCCCCGCATTTGTCCTTTCTGTCAGTCCTCCTTTGCCTGTTCAGAGATCTGGTAATCCTAACCTAGCCAACATATTGTGTGAATCTACCCATATGGTAACAAGAGAAAGACGCTGTTTAGACTCAGTCTCAGTAGAAAGGAAGAGAAAATATGGAGTACTTGGGATTCTCCGAGTTTCGTTGTTTTCTTGCAGATTTTGTTACCCGCCTAGGTAACATCTTCAGTGCTAGAAGGGAGTGGGGGTTGCTCTCTGTTTGCTCTCCCACTCCCCTCTAGCACTGAAGATGTTACCTAGCCAGGTAATGAAATGTCTGCAAGAAAACAGCCAAGCTCAGAGAACCCCAAGGACTTTACAGTTGAACCCTGAGCTACTCATATTCTCTTCTATTGGAAGAGAAAATATGGCTATAGGGAACCAAAAGCCCGTTGAGCAGATGCACTTTATAAGCAGTGACCCCTTTACAGCAGGGCTTTACCTGCTCTTTCTCCTGGGCCACTGTAGCCCGTAGCAAAAAAGCCAAAGGGGAATGCGCCAATGCCAAATGCCATGTGGAAGCCTGTGGCTGCTTCAGGAAAACTGCCGATGCCCTGCTGGGGTGGAGGGGGAAGGAAAAAAAAAGAAGGGTGGGGTAACAGTGTGTTGCAGAAGAGCAGCGTTAGTCCAGGATGAATTTGGGGAGGGGAGCTAGAAACAGGCTGCACTCACCCCTCGCGACTCAGGCTCCGGGCGCTGCCCTCGAGGTCGGGGGGGAGTTTTCAATCTGTGGGATGGAGAAAAAGGCAGGATTATGCCCCTCGCCTTGGTGCTCACAGCCTCTAATCTTCCTACAGAGGATGCATTTTGCTAATGTGTGCCCAATAGCTTCCTAGCTAACAAAGGAATACCTCCTAGCCCCAAAGGACTTACAAACTACAATCTTATACCAGAAGACGGAGGAGGCAATAGGACTGAACAGGGAGAAGAATATGATTATCTCCATTTCTTAGGTGGCAGCTGATGAACGCCTGGGTTTGCATGATCTAGTAAGCAGCAAGAGGCCTCACGGGATGTCAAAACTGCTTTGCGGGCTAAATAGGTCATCTTCCTCGAGCACAAGACGAAATCATCAGTCGCATAAGGCAACAGATCTCACAGAGTCGGGGAAAAACAACACGTTAACAAATCTTAGCACTGCAAAAAGAAGAGTTATAGATGTAAATCAGCCCTCCCACACAAAAGAGGCAGCCCAGGACATAGGGCTGGAAAGAGGAGAGAGGTGAAAACCCTCTTCCTCTTGAAACACAGCCGTCAGCAGAACTCTTCCAGCATGGCTTTCTAACTTTTCTTCAGTAAAGATTACTTAACAGCAGTTCTTTGATTTCTGGTGAATTTGCCTAACTGGTACCAGTCCTACCAACTGGGGGAAGCCTAATATCGTCAGTCTAGTCCAGTGTTTCTCAACCTTGGCAACTTTAAAATGTGTGGACTTCAACTCCCAGAATTGCTGGCTGGGGAATTCTGGGAGTTGAAGTCCACACATCGTAAAGTTGCCAAGGTCGAGAAACACTGGTCTAGTCGCCTCAACCCAGTCTGGCGTGCCTTCTGAATTTAGATGGAGGGCAAATCTACAGTTTATTCTCTTTTCCGTCTACTGAATGGAGAGACAGAATTCTGGAACAGCTGTAAAATGGGGATGTTCCACATTTTTAGCGCTATGAAAACGGTGAGAGGAGATTCAACCCCCTTCCCATATTGCCTACATGATTCTAACCTTGATTAAGCTACTGTAGGTTTTTGAAACTGCAAACGTGGCTGAGATAACAATCAAAACAATAACCAACTGGGGCTAGCCATGGTTTGACAGATTGTTAGCCACGAAACAGATAAAGTGGCTTATTTACCTTTAATACCAGATGGGTTAACATATTGTTCAAAATGCTGTGACACTGGAGCAACTGGTGACTAAGTTCATACCTCATGGCTAAGCAATGGCTCCTTTTAGTCATTGCCGAATAAGCCGCAATGCCTTATTCTACAGGTGAAACTCGAAAAATTAGAATATCGTGCAAATGTTCATTTATGTCAGTACGGCAACTCAAAAGGTGAAAC